TCTAGTAGAGTACTTACATATTTACATACTACATACATACATACATACATATGTAGTTCGATTGTCGATAGTTCAAATAGTGTGAATAAAAAGGTGATTTGAAGCTTTAAAGGCGATATTTTCGGCTTTAGTTTAGGTTACGCGTAGAAGTCTTGACTTTGGAGGCACGTACAGGCAGGTAAGTTTTGATTGCCAAGTTATACAATAAGTGATTTAACTAACTATGAGCTTTTGTACTAGAATTATTTATTAAAAATTTTTATACCCGAGCGCACTTGTGCACAAGGGTATTATAACTTTGTTCACATAACGGTTGTTTGTAACAGGCAAAACGAATCGAGATAGATATAGACAAATGTGTACAAAAATGCTCAGAATGAAAAGATAAATCGATTAAGCCGCGACTGTCTGTCCGTCCGTCCGCAGTAAGGCGCCTTTAAATAAAAATATACGCATCTAGTAAAAATACGGCCCCAGGGAGCTGACTGGCTAGCTAGAGAAGTAGCAGCCACTCGACCGATAGGACCAGAACCCTTCCTTGCAGTCGGCCCTCATACTATCAGGAAAGAGTAAGAGCAGAAGAACAATACCTAAGTAGGAGAACACGTCTGGACTAAGGCAGGCAAAATAACTGTTAGGAAGCCATAACCCCAGAATATCCACAGAACTAATCACATTCCAGGAGACTGTCTTGCGATTTTTAACTATCTTGGGACTTCTAACCAGTCACTGAAGGCTGCAGGTCCATATGATTAGCGCAGACAACTCCACTTTGTGTGAAAACATCACGGCGCACGCCACAAATCGGAGGAGAAGCTCGGCCAAACACTAACATATGTGTATGCGCCAATCTATTATTACTATTATTATCTACGCATCTAGCCGACTTGTAATGCGTTACCCCACTGATACAAAAAAAGTGCTTACCAGAAAAGGAAAAATCTTTTAAACAATTTCAGAGTGCTCAGAATTTATGAGTCTAAAATGAGTATTTCCGAATGTTCGAGTTATCTTGTGTTCGAGTTTTCGTTAATGCACTGTAGTTCGGGGTTTTTTCGTATTATTAACGGATTAGTTCTTTATCTTTCTTGGCGCTGTAACTGCCTAAGCGATTTTGGCCGAGTACAAAATAACAGGCCAGTCATTTCTCTTCTGTGCTAGCTGACGCCAATTGGAAATGTCAAGTGAAGCCAAGTACTTCTCCACCTGGTCTTTCCAACGCAGAGGAGGCCTTCCCATTCCTCTGTTACCAGCATCGCGGCCCGCGTTGAATATTTTCAGAGCAGGAGCGTTTGTGTCCATTCGAACGACATGGCCAAGCCAGCGGAGCCGCTGAATTTTAATTCCCAAATAAACGAAGTCGTCTACTTTTTCAAACTTGTAACTGTCAACAGTGACGTGGGTATGCTCTGACTGTTTGTGTGATGACAGGAGATACTTCGTTTTGTCCTCGTTCATCACCAGATCCATTCGCTTTGCTTCTCTATCCAATTCCGAGAAGGCAGAACAGACGTAGCCCTTGTTTTAACCGATAATATCGATGTCGTCGGCATACGCCTGCAATTGTACGCTCTTGTAAAGTATTGTGCCTGAGCGGTTCAGTTCTGCGGCTCTTATTTTCTTCTCCAACATCAGATTAAAGAAATCAGACGAAAGGGAGTCCCCTTGTCTGAAACCTCGTTTGGTATCAAACGGCAGGGAGAGGTCCTTCCCTATCCTGACGGAGCTGGTGGTATTGCTCAATGTCGTTTTACACAGCCGGATTAGTTTCGCGGGGATACCAAACTCAGACATCGAGGCATAAAAGCAACTTCTCTTCGTGCGGTCGAAAGCGGTTTTGAAATCGACAAATAGATGGTGTGTGTCGATGCTATTCTCGCGGGTCTTTTCCAAGATTTGGCGTATTGTGAATACCTGATCTATGGTGGATTTTCCAGACCTAAAGCCACACTGCTAAGGTCCAATCAGCTCGTTGACGGTGGGCTTCAGTCTTTCGCACAATACACTCGATAAGATCTTATAAGCTATGCTTAGAAGGCTGATTCCGCGGTAGTTGGCGCGTATGGCGGGGTCGCCTTTCTTGTGGATTGGGCAGAGCACACTTAAATTCCAGTCGTCGGGCATGCGTTCATATGACCATATTCTGCATACGAGCTGATGCATGCACCTCATCAGCTCCTCGCCGCCGTACTTGCATAGCTCGGCTGGCAGGCCGTCAGCTCCAGCAGCTTTGTTGTTTTTCAGCCGCGTAATCGCTATTCGTACCTCGTCATAATCAGGCGGTGGGACAGCTACTCAATCATCGTCGACTGGGGACTCGGGTTCGTTTTCTTCACTACTTTCAGAGCTGCTGCCATTCAATAGGTTGTAAAAGTGTTCCCTCCATAATTTAAGTATATTCTGGACATCGGTCACTAGGTCGCCATTGTTGTTCTTACAGGAGTTCGCCCCGGTCTTGAAACCTTCCGTAAGTCGCCTAACCCTCTGGTAGAATTTTCGGGCGTTCTTCCTGTCGGCCAGCATCTCAAGCTCTTCGCACTTACGTATTTCGGCCTCTCTCTTATTGCAGAAAATACGTCTCGCTTCCTTTTTCAGTCCCCTATAACGGTCCCACATGGTTCGCGTTGCGCCCGATCGCAGCGTGACCCTATAGGCGGCGTATTTTTTCTCTGCGGCTTCTTGACATTCCTCATCGTACCAGTTGTTCTTTCGGGCTCGCTGAAATCCAACTGCTTCTTTTGCGGCGGTACTTAATGATCGGGAAATGTGGTTCCACTGCTCGCGTATGTCGGATTGTTGAACAGGTCTAACGTCTAAAACGCTGGAAGCATGCCTTCCGGCTATCACAGCATGATCGATTTGAATTCTCGTTTTTCGACCTGGAGACATCCACGTAGCCGATGGATCTTTTTATGCTTGAACCTAGTACTGCATACTACCATGTTTCGGGCCTCGGCGAAGTCGATCAGCCTCAGTCCGTTAACGGACGTTTCGTCATGGGGGCTGAATTTTCCGACAGTGGCTGTGAACTTGTCCCCAAATAGTGCTGAAATGGTTCAGAAATAGTCCTGAACAGGTCCCGAAACTGTTTCGAAATAATTCCGGAAATGTCCTAAAAGAGTCGAAAAAGTCACGAACTTTTCCCGAAAGGATCCGAAATAGTCCCTTATTAGTCTTGAACTAGGCTCGAAATAGGCCAGAACTAGTCCCAAAATGGTCCCCAAATAGTTGTGAATTTGTTCCGAAATGATCCGAAAAGAGTTCCGAAAAGGTTCTGAAATATTCCTGAATAGGTACCGAACTGGTCCTAAACTAGCCGTGAGCTAGTCGCGAAATGGCCCTGAAGTAGCCCTGAACTAGGCCAGAAATATTCATTTGTACACACAGGAAGGTATTACAAATTTTCTGCTAGGTTAACGCAAATTATACCCATACCGAGAGCTAAGATATTTACACCTCAAAAATTGCTCTTATATGATCTCTCAAGAAGTATCTTTCAATATCTATAACCATAACCGTTGTATATCTCTAATAGTATTGTAAATGAAAAACTAAACATTTAAGTACTCTCACCACGATTTCACTTTTGACACAGTTTTATCGGAATTTGTACATATGTAGTTACGTTTCACGCTTCACTTCATCTTCTCAATGGGTTTTCATTTTAACTTCATGGGCCTAAAACAATTCAAGGCAAAAATTTTAATACAATATTTGTAGGTCAAATAGTACAGCTGAAATCGAATAGAATAAATTGCTCGCGCTAACATATCGTCGCTTCAGAAAACGGATGACGAATGTGCAAAATCACGATTTTGGGATTTTGATGCAGATTTACTAAGTTGGACATGCTCTTTCGATTTCTGCAATCCATTTTTTTATATCTCCATTAGTTTTTGAGATATTTCGTGCGCATTTTGTCGTATGTTACATAATATTAATGATTGGGTATGCCTTTTGTTGTATGTGCTGAAAATGCGTCACATACGACAAATTCCCATACAAACGTGCCTTTTTTTAATCATAAAACGTTTGTCGTATGT